CAGTCAGCCTGTTTCGGTCGTAATTTTGAATCCAGAGCATCCTTTCGTCTCTCCAGGATGATGCGGAATAATATTTATCTACAGGTCAACAGCAGCAAGATTCCGCGCCAGTTCGTGCTAAGGCTTAGGTCGCCCTTGTTTTGGAGTTTGACAAAGTAGCCCTTCTTCCAATCTGCAGGCACCTTCCCTTCCTTCCTTCCTAACCTTCTGTAGTAGTGATGTGAGCATATCCGCTGTTGTCTCTGCGTCTGTTTTCAGTGCTTCTGGTGGAATTCCATCTCGTCCTGCTGCTTTCCCGCATTTCAGCAGTTTTATGGCATTCAGAACTTCTGCTTTTGTCGGAAGGCCTGTGTTCACTTGTAGTTCTGCCGTTGCTACTGGTATTTCTGGATGAGTTGCTGGTGATGGTGAACGATTCAAGAGTTTTCTGAAGTGGTCAGCCCATTGTTTCCTTTGTTTCCATTCTTTCGTAATTATATTTCCTTCATCATCTCTTATTGGTTTCGTCTGTGTTGATCTCTTCCCTGATATATAGTAACCTGGTTATTTGATACGATGTTGTCAGGCCTCTCCTACCTGCAGCCTGTTCTGCTTCACTTCGCAACGTGTCGTAGAAGTGTCTTTTGTCTTTGCGCGCACTCTCCTTTACTTCTTTGTCCAGTGTTTTATAGGTTGTACTCAGTCGCTCTTTTCGTTGTGCATCCTTGTACTGGTTCGTCTTCTGCTTCACCATCCTCCTCTCCCTGATCTATCAGCTTCCATGTGTCCGTTTAGATCCATTCCTTATCTCGGCGCTTCTCTATCCTTCCTAATACGGTTATGCATGTTTCTTCCTACATGGCTTTCAAAGATTTCCAGTGCTCATTCACACAGGTTTCTTCAGGGATTTTGCTAGATATCTCCCATTTTGTCTTGATGGCTGCCGTGAAGATTTTCTTTGTAGTTTCGTCCTTCAGCTTCCGGGTGTTCAACTTTAACTGTGGTCTATCACCAACTTCCTTGAAGGCTTTCAACTTGACTTGGAAGGTTCCTTGCACAACAGAGTGAGTGGTCTGAGCCTACATCTGCTCCCCTTCTTGATCTTGTGTCTAGTAGGCTACGCCTCCACTTTCTTTACATTGAGATGAAATCGATCTGATTTTGAGTGTAGTGTGTCCATATAGTAAAATCCATGTCGCTAACTTTGTGAATATCCTTGTGTTTGTACACACTGCTTCCAAACACCAAATCGTTGAATGCGCAGAAGTCTGCAAACAATTCTCCATTCTCCTTCATTTCACCGAGTGCCTCTCGACCCATGAGGACTTCTTTTCCTGTGTTGTCCACTCCCAGTTTGGCATTCATGTCACCCTATACATTGGAATATTGATGTCGCCATCTTAAGTGGGGTCATGTCCATTAGTGATTGCAGTTGCCTATAGAATTCCTCCTTCTTCTCTTGATCCACATCATTTGTAGGTGCATAGTGCAGCGTTGTATGGTTGTGACTTTCATTCCTTTTTATTTGAATCTTGTTGTCATGATCCTGCAGGAGGAGATTGTTTCCCGCCGCATGAAGGAGAGAGACTTCAATGCTTTTGGGGACATCATGATAGCCGCTCCAAAACTCAGTGTGCTCGTGGTTGTTGTTTGGGTGACAATATCGGAGTAGATTATTGACTCTCCAGTTGACAGTTTGGAGAGTCCACTTCCATTCCATCTGCAGATTCGTCGAAGATTCCTAGAACTTGCATGCCATACCTCCTCATTTCTTTTGCAATCTGAGCAGCCTTGCTAAGTTCATACATGTTGTGGACATTCCATGTCCCCATTCTTACTTTTGCTTTCATCGAGAGAAAGAAGATACAGTGGCCAATCGGCTTCCCAGAAGCTTTCACCAACTGGCGTCATTTCGTCTCTCCGATTCCAGCGAGGAATAAGTTTATTTTTCTGTTTTATATTTTCTTTGTGCTTTAAAGTTTCTTTAGCGGTTAGATTTGTTTTACGGGGTAGGGTTGCTAGCCATATACCCAACCTTCCCTGTTTATGCGGGCTTAGGATCGTCTATTATTTAGTGAACTGGTTAACAAGGTGAGGTTGGTTGTCTGTTTGGATTGTCTGAAACTACAGGGAAACAAGATGCCTCATTGGAATTCAGTAAATTAGTGCTAATCTCTTGCTCACAACTAACAGTATATATATATATATATATATATATATATATATATATATATATATATATATATATATATATACAGCTTGTCCATACCATTAACTTATAATACAAGGCGTAGATGATTCACATCAACCAGTAATGCAGAATATTACAGTTTAACTAATCAATATATTGGAAATAGTTTCTTCTTGTTAATCCCAAGAACAATCTATCAGCCTCTTAATTGTACTCAGTTAGCTAAATTCTTCAAAACCATTAGAATTCTAGTCAACTAGTTAACCCTAACCAAACTACTGGAACATTAAATTGAACTGACTGTTATTGAAATATATAATGAAGAGAATTTTAAAATTACCTCCTTAGTTATATCATTCCATTGATAATCATTTTTTAAACTAGTGAAATATATGTTCATATTATGTTTATCTGGTTAGCAGAGATATTTATATCTCGTAAATGACATAAAATTACTTACATCTGTTAACTATAAGGTTTATTATGGAACCATACCTTCCCCCCCCCCACTCACTTTTTTGTCTTAATTAGATGGTTACAAAGTGAATATACCTTGAAGATGAAAATTGATTGATAATTTTTATTTTAGGCATTCCTTTCATTTAAGTAATCACATGAAATTTATTTTGTTTTTCCGCTTCAATTTCATTTAAAAATTGATCAGATTAAATAGAATGTAGGCAAAATGAAAAAAAAAGAGTACACTGATATCTGTCATTTTCATAAGAATATAATTAATTTATTCATTTTATTAATGAAATGATTGATTTATATTGTAAAATTTCATTGAATTATTAATCTTGTTAACAGTAAGAAAAAAAATCTTCTAATTTACACATATTATTATCTTTCTATTTCAAGGTTATACAATAAAATGATAATTTAACTTGGGTCAATAACATCCTTGAAGAGTTAGGTCAAATGAAGTTGATACAGTGTGAAATAGATTTCTTAATGATTAAACTAGAATATATTAATATTATGTAAAGTAATTGAAAGTTAACATTAAGCCATGTGTCTTAAGAAAACATAGAATGCGTGATTCAGTGACACTGTTCAGTTAAAAGAAAAAAAAAATTTTTAATTCAACTTTGAGAAATGAATCTTTGCTAGGTTAAATAAAAAATATGCATAACTTTTTTTCAATTCTCCACTTGTCATTGTCGAAGCTTCAAGCTTATTGTCATTGTGGTAAACTGTCTATCCCTCTAACTAGTCTCCTCGTTTACGAAGCCGACAACATCTACTACTACTACTACTCACAATTCTAATACTACTGCTACTGCTGCTCACACTGCCACTGCTACTACTTCTACTACTACTACTACTACTTTCTACACTTCGATCGTATACCTTCTCCCTAGATTAAGAGGATTATTATTTTATATATTATTATTTTTGCCTTGGGTTCCTAGTGGAATATAGAGATTCAGTAGCACGCCTTCATCCCACTCTCTTCTCTACAGTCTCCTTCACCTGGCTCCAACAATCACAACAACCTCTCATTCCTCCCTCACATGATCTCCTCCATGTCACCCTCACCTCCCACACACAACTCGTCATTTCCCATTTCGGTTCCACTCGACAGCCTCACCTGATGTCACCACTACGCCTTCTCAATGCATCACCAACAAAGTCCATATACACTTCCTTCCTTGGTTCATTACCAGCCACAGTCCATTACTGCTTATTCTTATTATTCTGACCATCTCATCTCCATCTTCAGTATCCAGTCAGCGTAGTCAGCAGCTGTTCATGAATGTCTGGAATTTGTTGGAAGTGCCTTTCGTGACGTGCCAAGTTTCTGAATCATATAGCACCAATGACTTGACTGAAGTTAGTGTTGAAAATCCGGATCTTGTTCACGGTTCATGCTGAGTGCAGTGCAGTAGATCTCCACACTGCTTTCACATTAGTGAAAGCCTATCTTCCTGTCTTTCCGATCCTGCTTTTCACATCCTCGTCTGTGCCTGTGCTGCCTTGTAGTTGAAACGATACTGCCTAGTTCGTAGGTGTAGGTGAGAGTGACAACTTCCTTTCAGTTTCTTCCGTTCATGGTGATTGGTGCCTCTTGTTGTTGATGCAGTTGTTGATTGGGTATCTTCATCACCTCCATCTTCTCTACGTTCATCTGCAGTCCCATTTTCGCCACTCTGCCATGCCTCTTCTGTTAACTTGTTAGTTCTCGCCTATAGATCTTCGAGTTTGTGCGACCAGACATTAGACATAAAACATCATTGTTGACAAAATCCAAATCTTCTTCTGGGTCTTTTCATCGGCCCAACATAAGCCTATCTTCTTGCTATCCTAGGTTCGCTACATGATCCCGTCGGCCACAATCAGGAAAATCATGGGTGATAATAGACAGCCTTGTCTTACTCCTGAAATTCAGAAACTAAGAAGAGAAAAAGAAAGACTATATAAAGTAAGTGATAATCCTTGTGTTCGTCGACTGGACGTTTTAATAAGATTGCAAATCAAAAGTCTGAGTTCACTCTATATATCCCGGAACTTTTGTCATGCAAAGGCTCTCTCACCATATGGAAAGGTTTTAAAAACTTGACTTTTAGTAAATACCGTAATAAACAAGCATATATTAATGTCTGTGCCCAAAAGGTATCATTTATATGCAAACCCTACTGTCTCATCTAATCTTGTCCATTCATTTCCAATATATAATCTTGTTCGAAATTCATTGAGAAAGATGTTTTCAAGTGTGTCAAATCCTTGGACTTTTCACACGATTTAGGTCTGAATGATGTGTCAAGCTTTGTATTTATGAAGTGTGCTGATATTTGACGCCATTCATTAGCTAACATGTTTAACTTATTGCGTTTCGAAAACACCATATCAGGCGCGTCGAAAGATATTAAGACAGTCCTCATACTTGTGCTGGTGATCTTAGGCACATGTTTGAAATTTCGTCCGATTGTACTCATTTTTCCGTTCGTCAAAGTAATGGAGAATTTAATGATACCTGTATCTAAACCCTAATTAAAGGTCTTGGAGATCGCAATCAGTTCATATACAAAGGTAAAAGAAGTAATCTGGATGCCACCACTGCCTTATATCCATAATATTGATATAATCTCTACCAAAATGCCAAGTATACCAGGTGTGCCCTTTTAGACTATACTTCAGCATGTGATTTTGTCCCAAGACCTCTCCCGTTGCACAAGCTAGACGGGATTCATACGGAGTCCTAGATAATCAACTGGCTATATTCCTAATTTTCTGAAAGGAAACAATATACTGTTCACAGAGGTATGCACAGCAACTCATTGTAATCAGCGATCATTTACCCCATCTTTTCTCTTTCTTTCTGGATGACTTATCATCTTCACCTAGCATCAATTTTGTCAACTATGTTGATGACCTGACAGTTTGCATATCTGTCTCCTCTTCAATAGATTCTTCCCAACTAAATTATTTCCTATCTACTGATGGATGTTGTCCGTCTGTAAATGGTCTTGTGTTTAATTCTTCAAAATGTCAGACCATAAACTTCAGTTTCAGACATCACCAGAATCTACGTAAACTGCTTCAGTCTTATGATCCTTGTTCTGTTGACGGCTGTGTATTAAAGACTGTTTCAAGTGGGATTTATCTTGGTGCGTTTTTTTCCTAGGACCTTTCGCTTTTTTCCTACATCTTAGTAATTTCCAAGCTAATCCTTCGCCTAACCAACTATGTTAGGAAGCTGAGAGTATCTAGTATGACTCAGCCTCTCTTCTTGTGTTTTATAAACTCTTGCATCTTGCCTATTCTTCTCTACTCTCCCTCTTTATACTTTCCTGGGTTGCTGAAAAAGACTATGCTGTGTATTGCGTAGAACTTGAAAGATTTTCAGCAGAACTAGTGGTTTATCGCTAAGCCTTCTAGTTAAAGCAGTTTTAAACATCTGGCAGGAATTATTTTATTAGATGACCAGCATCATACAAAGCTCTCTGCCTGTCTGTTATCTACAAAGACAAGCTGCAAGTATATAAGAGTTTATGTATGTACTACTAAATGTAAAAACTCTACAATACCGGATTCAGTTCGAATCTTGTGCGATGAAGAAAGCGTCAGAAATGAACTAACACTAATCAACTTCTGTTTTTCAAAGCAAACTAACTGATGAGTACATAGCATGTTATTATTTATGCCTTATGAATCTAATTACTAATGTGATTGTCTACCTAAGTTAACTCTACATTTTCAAAAATATTCTAGATGGAGTAAACATTCCTATCTTTTATATGTAGAATTTCCACCTATTTTACTTTTTTTGTGTATACATATATACTATTTCTGAGCAGTCGATGTCGTACGACATGCTAAAAATTCTTTGCAGTATTCCTAAAATACCCTTCAGAATAAAGTCATTATTATTATTGCTACTCACACTACTACTATGACTAACACAGACAGGACAACAATGATGACTACAACTACGGAAAATACTAACATTAACAGAATTGTTGTTAATTATAGCTTATTTGCTTCTCACATTCATGGTGTCAATGCATTGATTTTTTAAAAACAGCGTCTTGGGTCCATATCAACTAAGGAATCATTAGAAGTCTGACAGCACTCAACAACTTTTTCATCCTAACTTGTAACTCTTACGTACTGCTTACCTACTCCTCTATGTGTTATCTATCTCTGGCTTCTTAGTCCCTACGATGAGCATGTCATCAGTTAATCACTATTTGCCATTTAAATTTGTGGTATACCACAATGAAACAGATTTTCAATAATTTCTCTGGCTTATATTGTTCATAATGTAAGATCATTTGAAATTCTAGCTTAACTATTCAATAGTGACAAATGAAATGACAGTTACTCACTTTTCAATAGGATAACAATAAGCATCATTGATGAAATTCACAAAGGAAACCAACTCTCTCTCTCTCACTCTATAGTTTTATCTCAATAAGCTTTCCTTATCAATGTTCATCTTCAGTAGTACACGGTATTGTACGTTAAGTCTTAATTTCTCTTAAACCAGGGGTCGAACTACAATGTTTGATAGTTTTGAAAATTACACCGAACCACTATATAATGCAATCAGTATATATTAATTCTGACCAATGTAGAAATTATAGACAGAGGAAACACAAAGAATGTCTGAGAATTCCTAGAAGCTTGGCATTCAGGTCAGTCAGCAATCAATAGATGTATAGACATAGACCCGATCTATCAACCCATACGAAAAATGATAAACGACAGAAAGGTCCGAGTTGAAGCAGAGGAACAGCCAACAGGAAAGTCTATACAATCGATGATACAACAATCGAAGGAAACAACCAGTCACAGACCATATCATCGAGGCAAGCCACTAAATCACTCACGGATAGATGCTGACAGCTCATTTCATACTAAAGTTAGTGCTGATGATGTCGTCTAGCAAGGCGATGAAAGCTTCACGATTAAACAACCCAGCTCAGAGAACACAATACAACCAAAAAGTTAAGGCTTATCATTAACATTTAATGAAATCTATTTCTCATTGTAAAACTGTCAATACAAACAAGCTAATTATTCATTTCAGTAGTCCGTGTGTAGAAAATGGATGACTTTTAGTGATTCTTAAACTTGTGTCAAACCAAGCTGAAATCTACCTCCAAACTAAACTGCTCTATTATCGTTCATTATCAATATACTTCAAGAAAGATATTTCAAAGTTCTGATGAGAAGCCATAACCACTAAAGTTGACCGATTCACAAATGAAACGGATACCTAATGGAGACTTTGTTGGATAGTTACACGATGCCACGAATTCTAAGAAGCAAGAAAATTTGGACCATTGAACTCCTGTGAACCAGTAGCTAGATGAAAAACGCGTTTGTCGTAAGATCTGAATACTCTTGACGAGATTTTGGGTACGCATTACTGAGGAATCCAATACTAGTACTCTCAGATTTCTAAAGATTCTCCAACTGGTATCAATTCATAATGAATACTGTCTAAATCTAATAAAATTTCTGACAGATTATTTCAATAAAATTTAAATGTGTTCCAGTTTTGTTTGATATTCAATAACATTTTGTTGTATAAATTTTTCGGTTTAGAATATTCGATCAAATCAAAATGAGTGCATTCAATACATTTAATTTAAGCGCTATAGGGCGATAAATAATTTAAACAAACTGTTACTTTACACTGAGATACAGTTCACTTATTAAGTATTCGATACGGGATTTTCAAGGTCAAACATTAGTTTACAAACCACAATAGTAGTCAATATCAAAGAGGATATTAGTACACAATTAGAATACTTAGTGTTCTCAAAAAAAAATGCAGATGAAAAGTAAAGCCATGATGGATTAAGTTTTGTTTTGTTCGTATCGATTATGTGATCAACTGAAATAGTCAGCGAGATGGCCAACTATAGTATTCATCGCCTGTGGCATGATTGCATAATGCCGTAAGTTATCACATTTCATCAGGATGAAGGATAGAAAAACATGGAGAAGAAATGTTATCCAGCGTCGTAGAATCTTAACATCTGTCTACAGCATGAATAAACGTAAATAATCAACGATCGTAATCGTCCGTACATATAGTCTTGATGATTCTGAAAGCCTAGTTACCTCTGGAAAAGAATTGTAGCTAGTGGAATGCAAGAAAAAGAAAACATTTATCATACTGTCTTACTTTTTTTCTTATCAGCTGATTGATACTGGATAATGGCTAGCAGAGGGATCCAGGACTGTTGTTTCGTCCTACTTAGGACTCGTCAGCTGGGCGTAACTGCCTATCAGTGAGTGATTTTGTTTTCACTAAGACTCGACCATGTGGCCCATTGATTCAGATGCAGAAGTGCTACCCACTAGGCCACTGAGTCACAGTTGCCACTTCTTGTACGATAAGTATGGTATAGTTTTAACTGGAGTGATATCACTCACAAGGAGATAGGTAGGTACATACAGCTAGTAAGTCCTAAATACAAGGGAACACACATCCTACATTCCACTGTTAACCACTACTCATCAGTGATATCAAATTTGAAAATACCGCCCAACAAATATCCAGAAGAAAGTGGAGATGGATTGAGCATACACTAAGAAGACCATTCAGGGACATCATGCACCAGGTCAGGCTGTCGAGTAGAAGCCAAATGGGAAACGATGACATGGAAGAGATAATGTCAGGAAGAAATGAAGGCTTGTGGGTAGTGGTGGAGACAGGTTTTGAAAACTGCATAGAACAGAGTGCAATGCAGGCGTGCTACTGAGTCCCTATGTTCCACTAGGAACCCAAACAATAAATAATAAAAATGAAAATATAGTGGCCCATGCATGTCAATCGGATCCTATTAAGTCGATCCAACCAATGAAAAAAGTGTAAAAAAACCAAAACAAACAAACTGCAATTCATCAAATTTATTTTATATCTTTGTACAAACCCCAGTTAATCATTTCCGTGAAATTATCATAATCTTCTCCATTCGATGTTGTCAACCATAACCTCCATTGTAAAGATGGTTTATTTAATATTAGATCATCTTCTAATGTATCATTTGTAGACTGATTAAATAAAATACATTGAAGTTTATCTACAAGATCAATAATAGTTAAGCATTCCTGTTGACCATATTCATCAGTAACACCAATAATTAATAAACTTTGATCATCATGAAGTATATTCAATAGTATACTTATCTCTTTTTCAATATATTCCCAGTCTAATTGATTAATAATTGAATTTCTTATATCAATTGTATACATTATCATATGATATTCTTTTATTAAATTACCTATTTCTGGTATAAAATTTATACTATCATGAATTAATTCATTATCCAATAGATATATGCCAGATATTCTATTCTGATTATTTAATAATTCACCATTTTGTGGTATAATACAAGTCATTTTAACTATAGTAATATTATCTTGAGTTATATTTGTTCTTGGTACTCCAATCATAATATTCTTTCCAATTAATTTTGTTTTTGTGCCTAAATATGGATCAGGCATAATAAAATCATCTGGTAACTGATTCCATATTGATAATTTAAATATATGCTTAATTATACTTTGATTTACTCTTGAAGAATCCATAGCTGGACCAATTATTATACACTTATAATAAACAATATTCTCTTCATGATTATATGAATAAATTTGATTTGATGAAATTAAATTATTTCTTGGTAATAAATGTAAATAATAGAATAATTTTCGCATATAATAACCAGATTTTGGATGTAATTTATTTGTTTTATCAATATAATTTCGAAAAAATACTTTAATACAATCTATTCCGCATAATTTTAATAAATTAATTAATTGTTTATCTATCCATTTGTGTTCATATAATTTTTGATAACATTTAGGCAACCATAAATATAAATCATTAATCAAAGTATTCCATTGTTTACAAACAAGTGAACAATTTTCTAAATCTTTTATACTTAATTGACGAAAAATATTAAATAGTATTTCCACAGGGATTCGTTCAACTAAATTATTATACATTTTCATTATTTGAGTATTTTTCTAAAAGTTTTCTTAAATTAAAATTCTCTTCTACAAGTTATAGAATCAATCATGTTAAACGTGGGTGTATTTTACTTTAGCCAATAGAATTAAACTTTCACTCTCATCTGATTGGTTAGAAGTGACCTTAAGAATTCGTGTGACCTCTTTTGACTAAACATATTGGTAAGTAGTAGCAGTAAAAATTTATCCTTTTCTTGATTAAGAATTAGCTATTTATCGCATAAATGCGAATATAAATTCTTACAAAATTATCAGTATAATTCAAGTTTATAGCCAAACTATAATCGTAAACATTTATTCTTAGAAATAGAAAAGGAATATCACTTTAATATTCATCGTCAACTGAAATCACTCGGAGAACCATTGGAAACCTCGGAGCACTGGACAGTTGTTTCATTCCAGTATGTACCCAACACCCCACACCACTAGGGATCGAACACGGGACCTTCAGATTCCACGACCAGGATGTTACTATTCAGTCACTGAATCCAACTGGTCCAATGGTCCACATTTCCTACTTCTGTCATTTCAAGACCCCTGGTGTGGTCATAGATGTTCACTGCTGAGGATCTCTGTACTACTAAGAAGCTGATGTCCACTCCAACCAGGTGGGTTTCTAATGGTTCTCTAACTGATGTCAGCTTATGATGAATATTAACCTGAAATCAATATATAAATCCTCACAAACCTCGAAATTGAAAAAAAAATGACACCAAATGTTCCGACGCTGGATACCTCAAGGAGATGACTATGGTTGGTTCACTTACATACAACTAAACAGCTGTTGCTTATTTGAACTGTTTGACTGATTGACCTACCAATGTGGTCACCTAATTCCTAGTATGAATATTTCCTCCAACCTACCACTAAAATATAATTTAATGGCATTATACCAAAAAATAAATTTGAGTATCATACTGTTTGACATAGTGGACAACTTCTTCATTTTTCTGAAGCCATGACAGCTAAGTTCAAATCCCAAAGCAAACATCAGTGCTGGTCAGAATATAAATTCAAAAGTTAGTGGACAAGACAATATACGCCACTCTAGTTGCAGTTTAAAACTTCTAAGTAAACCGTAAGACCAACCTTTTTCTTCATAATGAATCGCAAAACATTTCCAGGTTTCATGCCTAACACTAAAGACAAACCCACTTGACGAATCTCAAACATGACGAAACATGAGTTTGCATTTAGAAAATCAGGAGGTACTCTTCCTTACACTGATGTAGTAGTAGAAGTTGTAAATTAATCACTGGACAGATAATGATTTTATGTTGTATAGCGCCGACTACTGAACCATTTCAGTTGACCATTTGGTAACATGTTCAATAAGCCAGGACACCCACCATCGTGGTACACTCTGATGTTGCGTGATTGAAGGTAGTCGGCAGGTAGCCCTACCAGGCCCGGGATTTTGATTGTTGGCACTCATCGGCAACGTCCATCTCGTCAACACTTACGACTAAACAACAAGAAAGTGGCTTCTCTCTACTTACTCACTAACGTACCCAATCCAGTCGTGCAGGTGGTCGATGCATTATGCACCGAATAGCTCATTGATGATATCTGTGATTTTAGCAGTGGATGACACTGGTTAAAATCTCTGAAGAGACCTCGCTTCCCTGTAGGCTGCAGACAGACTTTTACAGTGAGCGTTGACATCCACAAGGTGTGGCAGACTGAGAGTGTTCTACCATTCTGGAAGGAAATCACAGTTTTACCCGTTTTTAAAAAGGGTCTATGTAAAGTATGTGTTGAACATCAAGATATCAGTGTACCGTCGAAGCGTCTTAAGTACAAGCTGATATCATACTTTACAGGCTGCGCAAAATGCAAAAAAATTTGTCCGCGAGGAACACATTGAGTTTCATTCACATTGTGGATCCATTGATCAGACATTTAACCTCCGTCAGATGCCTGAACACTACAACAACAATCGACGCATTCCTAAATATCAGAGTTGCCTTCTGTTCTTTGGACAGGGTTATGCTGTGGAATTATGTGCTGGGAAGGGATGTCCCCGAGAGGTCTCTTAGCATCTTGAAAGCTCCATACATCACCATGTTAGGAAGACTGAAAGTATACAGTCATCTATTCTTAGCGTTCCAAACCAGTAGTGGAGAGGGTGGTCATTTTTCATCATTCCTCTTCACCTTCACCGTCGACAGTATTCTAGAGCAGCCTTGAAGAAGATTTGTGGAAGTGGTGTAGACCTATTGTCAGATGAAAGGCTGTTTGACCTCAAGTATGTGGATGACATCGCTTTCACTGTGTGGTGGCATACAGATTACGCAAATCGCACTTGGTGAGTGACCGATCAGTGTACCCAAATATGGTGTATGCTTCTCACTGCCAAAGTGGAAAGTGCCTCCACAAGATTGAAAGAAATCCGTGTCTCCACACACTTTTGGTGATGAATTGCTGGAATCTGTTGAGAAGTTTTTACACCTGAATAGTTGTGTAAATCCTGGTGAACATGTAACTAGTAAGGTTTTCATACGTATATCAGAAGCCAGAGGGATATATACCAATCTGCGACGTTATCGTGGCTGTGTGTTGTTGGATAAAAAAAGCCTATAAAACCAGACTACTCCTAGCTAAAGATAATCGGTAACTCTGCGTGTTTTTATCACCGCTGTTTCCCCAAGATTCCTTGCATTCAGTGGGAATACCATATACGTAATTATGAAACGAGATGGCGTGTGTTTGGCCATGACTGAGATCGTCATTCATTAAATGCGGTCATCCTGAAACACCATTCATAGTGGCTGCGACATGCATTACGTATTTCGTCCAAGTGCCTTACACACCATCCACTCTTCGCATACCCTAGGACTGGTTGCAAGAAGCGAAGAGATTTCCAGCGTATGACAGAACTATGCTGAATGAAGGATGGTTGTATTGAGCTGGCATGGGTAGGTGCCTCACGACTTATGGGATGGGTCTGAGAAATCAAACAACTCAGTTGCTGGACATGATAGTATATATGGCTGAGAATTGAAACCAGTGGTTTCTACTGTTATTGACAGTTAAATTGAAAGTACTGAATGCTTCCTCCGATAAACGTCTGAACTTGCTTCTTTCATAACCACTTCAGATTTCATCCTATTCTTCCTTTCGTTTCCTGTGTCTTCATAATGTTGACTTACTATTTTCTTCGGCACACATCTTGGTGCTCACCCTTTTCTTGTGATAAATGAATATTAACAATAAAATCTATGCTTTACTTTTAGCCCATTTTCTTATTGCTTCGGTTGAATCAGCCGTTTTTTTCAGTTTAATGTTTACCTTCTCTATTTCAGGATCTTGTGTGACTGAAATGAGCCAATAATGGAGCTGTCTGCAGTTCACCATACCAGTGGTCAGTACTTTTCCCGAAGAATCTGTTCTCGTCATTTGGTGGTATCACTTGTTTATCAATATGATTGACTCTTTTAGCCAATATTTACCTGAATTTAGAAACTTCACACCACTATACAGAAATATTTATTCAAAAACGCGTGTAACTTCTTATCGCATTCAGCATACCAGACAAATATGCATTCATGACCTCTTCCTTTGTATTCACTAATAATAATGTCTGTAGTGCATTGTTTTAATTAAGTCTAAGCAAAATTATGATCTCATTTTACTGCTTTACAAATTTTTGAAGTATTTACTGTTAAAACACTATCTAATATAATTATTTGTTCTACTTTCTCGATTGTTTCATACCTGTTACATGTGTCCAACTGATGTCTACGTCTTAATTCAAAAAGCCCCACAATGTGATCAATTTTTAAAGTTTTGCTTTATAAAAAGGTGACTTCAGTTGTGTGTGTGTGTGTATGTGCGTACTTTTTTAGACCACTGGATATGTTGAGTAATATTTGTAACTTGATAGGTAGAAGTTGGAGGAATTTCGGAATCGCATGCAAGATTATGACTACTAGGTAATTTACTAAGCTATACATTTGTGAATTAAATGTTACTGTGGATAGAACACTAGCCAGTCTGATTAACAAATGGGGAATGGAAGTGAATCTTCAGCCCAATAACAGAACATCTTGTGAACATTGAGGCTACTCATCACCTTTTGAGAACTCATTCAAAATCCTCCACAGGATTCCATCAAGTCAGTCAAATGGAGGAAGATCAAGGCATTTGGGTATAGCTGAAGCATTAGCCATCCAGAAGTTTACACCAGCGCTATGTCTCCAAGAAAGGTACATTCAACCTTTGTGTCTATCATGGCCATCACACAGACTTGACTGTCATAGATAAACCCTATATTAGTTAGTCATACTTATAATTTTCTCCTAATACCTTGCTCATTTTCCCAGCCTAAACCCTCACTTGCATTAGGTAAATCCCTTTCACTACATTTACTTAACCCCTGCCTGGAAATGATTCTAGAATTTGCTGCCCATTGTAAAGTATATTCATGAATGTGAAGCTTGGTAAACGACTTTGTCGAGAAGAAAAGTTCTTCTTCGTCTCTTCTGTCTATGATTAAATCGGTATATTTCTCTGACTATGAAAATATTGGAAACTTAACGTTAGAGAATATAGTTTGGAGAACATGCCTATCGAAACTTAATGACTAGTTGAACAGTATTATTACTGATGATCCACGTGAATTCCTTAAGAAAATCTAATGGAATCTGTGAAGCCTAAAAACACTCCAAACCATCAAAAAATTAGCTGAGTTACTCCAAAGTAATGTGATGTACTAATTGTAGGACATCAACAAACCCACTTAGCATTGGCTTGTACTTTCACTGTTTATCTGTGCCAACTGATAAGTTTGTCAAATTTCTAGTTTCTATTTCTTTGTGCCAAAATCCCCTAAAGTGTCTGTCATTCATTCTTACTGCTCTTGACATGTGACTTTTCATAATAGTGTATTGTTCGACGACCTTGTTCTCAAGGTCATTGCAAACATATATATATGCACACAAGAGCTGTAAACCGTTTATGAACTTCTTAATTGGTTGACACAATGAATTTTCCAAC